TACCTCTTCGTCGAATGCGATGAGAAGTGAAAATGGAGGAACCGACAGAGACCGAAACTGAGCGAAATTAAAACTGCTGTTTCTTCTTTATACAAAATTGACCACATTACTATTTGCACTCAGCTATGCCTCTCTGACGATTCAACTCATGAAAGTTTCGTTGGTCAAGAGATAATTGGCGATAAATCATTCGCGTACTGAACACGGACGCCATTACACAGAGCAAAATTGTCCTTTTGTTTATCTCTTGCATGCTAATAAGCCAAAAACAAATAATTTCATCCTAGCTGTCAGTTTTCTCGAAATATCATAAAAAAGACTTTTCCATGTTCAAGTAACAGCTAAATAAACTCGAATCATATAAATGAGTCAACAAAAAATCTCGTTTCGTACTGAATAGATTGACATATGTAAATATTAAAGATTATTATAACCTAGAACGTTTTGTTACTTTTGTAATTTTATTCATCTAGCACGTTGGATAGTCAGATTGAAATGCGAACAGCTATTTAAATCGTACATTACTTGAATCCTACAAGTCTTAATAATGTATACAATATTTCATTGTATGATGAGCGACGCCTAGAATAAAATGGAAACCTATTAAAACTGCTTTTGATGTCAAAACGGATTCCATCAATGATGTTATCCACACAAACGTGCCGTAAACACCTATTGGAATAACAGCTAAACAGAAAAAAATAAACAGCACTAAAGATGCTCGTTCATGACGACATGTTAGAACTTCAACACATTTCACCCATATAATGTCTTTGAAATAATGGTGGCGTCGTGAATCCCAGCAAGCTAATGTCCATAGTATTAAATAGCCCATGCCACATAATGATATAATAATACCAATATAAGTATGATGCAGAATAAACACTGATGCTTTGTTATGATGCGGTAGACATAATTGAGTATAGTCAAAAATAGTGATAAAATAGGTTGGAAAAATAAATGAACCTTTTTGAAGAAATTGAGAACCAATTGAATTGATCAATTTATATACAAATGAATTATTCTCTTCAATAGACTCATAGTCTACATGATACTCCATGCATTGATCTATTAATGCCAAAACTATGTCGAAGATACTGAGAAGTACAGCAACGATTGTACTCAGCCAAAAGACAGTAACGAACAATATATTTTGTCTTCCTTCCTTGCTAATGATATTTTTGTATACAGTTGTTACATCAAAAGTAAATAGAGCGTTCGATGAACAATTTGTGGTATCATTCATGTTCGCTCTGATGATGTAGTAGTTCGAAGTTGTATTTGCAACATGATACACTACGTATAGATCACGGTTTTCGTATCTTTTATAATTCTGTGCATTTGAAACAATAAAATAGACTGTTAAACAAATATTGACTAGGATCAATATTGGAGAAATAACTTTTCTTACGAAAAAGCTATTTTTGATGCTACCACATAATTCACACATGGTTCTTCAGTAGATAACTTTATGGTTGTTGGTTTTGTTGTGTATTCTTGTCGATCTCAGGTATATTTATGATTACTTAAGACGAGTGTCCGTTCGTATTTCATGAATGATAACATTTAATAGTGAAAAAGAGTCAAGATATTGAAACCGTTGATAAGAGAAACAATTCTTCATTTGATAATAGCTAAACATTACATTTTATCTGCATGTTATTCTCATATGTTGTGCGAAGTTGGCTAGCTCTTCAATATCGAAACACTGAGCTACAACAACTTTAATACATGTCTAGTTTTACATTCTCATTTATTTGAACGACTCTATTGTAATTTGATGATGTTGTAGAAAGTAAACATCATCATTGCAGAGTGAATCCTCTAATCAGATAAACTACTGAAAAAAACTAGTTATCAGCAACAACAGGCACATTATTTACTCATCTTCAATCGGAGTGATATTTTTTGAACTTTTCAACAACAACAAGGTGTTGGTATGGGTAATAGTGAGTTTTTTCTTCATTCCTCTCCTCATAGCTACACCCTAAATAATTAGTTTTATGAAAGTTTTTGATAAGAATGGAAATTGCCTCTCTAACTAAGTCATACAGTATTTCAATTTTTGAGTGCTTATTGACATATTATTCTGTGGCAAACTCAACGCTTCTTACACCTCACATATCTTCAGAACAAACGAATACAACTCACACATTATTGATGTTCTTCGAAATTCAAAAGCAACACGTACTAGACCTTTCAATAAAAATATCAGAAACATTATTAACATAACGATTATTACTTGATCAAGTATGATGTAAGTCTTCGTCACATCTGAAGAAATCACAACGAACGATTGACATAAAAAGAAAGGAATAATACATAGAAATAAAATGTGATCGAACCTGTGATTTCACCAGCTTACAATTCACACAGAGCATCTTATCAATGAATCGCTTTGTGTTTCACGCCAACATTTTCAATCGAATAAGAATAATGGTGAGGGAAAAAACAAGTCCAATGATATCGCATTCCAATATGTCGACGATGACCATTGAATAGTAATGAACGGCTGTAATTAAATATCGTCAATAGTGACCTCGAACGATGAAATGATTTTTATTTATGAGACGCGTTCAAAAAACTACATATGCATAATATAACACAATAACGATATTTACATTTTTTGTCACAGAAATATTTATGCGACATACTATACTTAAATCACTTATAACTTGATCTTTATTTTATATGTAAATGTATGTGAAAAAAGTGACGCTAAATGAATGTTGAGCAAATAAACTACAACATAATTCCGAATGAGACGTTATTGTACCGCAATTTTCTGTTTCTCTGCTATTTTATTTCATCCTTTAATCGTTGGTGTTCCTCGAGAAATAAATTATAATTAATATAAGGATTTTTCATAGGTATTCAGTAATATAAAGGGAATTAAACATCTTCAAGAGATGACTATTGTTTCCGATACGGGAAAAACTTGAAATTCAAAATTATTCTTTTCTAAATTTTCAGTTTAGACATTGGATCTCGCTGGTTACTTGATATTCTACTTTTATTCGAAGAATTTTCACTTCTTAGCAGGTCTTGAAGATTAATGCCCATGGTGTACGAGAATCATAAATTATCGAAATTTCGATCAGTAGAAGAACATTTACTAAGAGAAATTTGTTCCAAATGATTATTCCCAATATTCATTACACCTAGAAGCAATTTGAAAGATTTAAGATTTCATAGTATTTATAATAAGAAAGATCATCTAATCAGATACAGAAAAAAAAACTTCTCAAAGTTACTAAATAAACGTATGCTTGTATTATATAAACATTTCATTATTAATTTGAGATATCTGTCAGAGCAGCGAAGAAATGTGTTTTAATACAAAACATATTCACCCGTCGGGCATAATTGTAATAGACCTAATCATTATTGAATATCGAAACAAGATCATTTCTGAACTGCTCAGCAATTATAATAACCATGAAGTATCTAAATTGTTCTACTTTCATCTTTTATAACATCTTATATACTTCTGTGTTTTTTCTCTTATTTCTCGTATGTTTTGACTTTTCATATTAATATACAAGTGTAAATGATATTTTTTGGCTCTTGTTCCTGCTCATATTCAATAGCAATCGATAAATAATAGAGGTGTCTACTCATAATATTAGATTGCCTCAGGTAAGTATACGTTATAGACGTCATCCGATGATTCAGTATATTCTTTCACGTCGACAGCAAACAGATCGTAAAAAACAAGAAAAAAAACATCATCCCATAGCTGTTCGTTCTGTTTTTTTCGTATCTATTTTCTACACGTGACCTTCAAACGAATCTTTGTAATCAACAAAAAAAAATTGTGTAGCTATTACAATTGTGACAAGTCTACAACAGACACCAATAGAACAAACGAAATTTAAGATTTTAATACAAAGCAATATGACAATACCAGTTGTTATCTTTGGTACTGTTGTTATTTCAGTTGTTATTGCTGTTTGTACACTTATTCTCTTAGTAAGTAATAGATTAATAAGTTAATTAGAGATACATCAATTCCTAGAATATGATGTCCAAGATAATATTTTTTTTCGTTGTTATCAATGTAGATTCTTTTTTGCTCTATGTGACGCTTTAATCGAACTTCATGAAAGAAAAAAATAAATCTTTCTGTTTTGGTCAAAAATTCAATTTTTTTTTGTTTTTTTTTTAAATCAATTCCAAGTGATTTTGAGACCTATATTTTACATTAGACGAAACCTTAGAATAGCTTCAGAAAGAGCATTCAAAATTGATCGTAACTGACCTACAGAATCATTAAGAGTTCGGTAATTCTCAGCAGTAAACATGTATCTTTGTTAGCACAGATAAACTAATGCCTTATAGTCTAAATTGCAAAATACTAGTCTCAAAATTAGTTTGAATTAGTCAAAAAGAAAGTCACTAAAAAATGCGAATTTTCGATCAATTCTGAAATTTTCGTTTTTTATTTCATAAAGATCAACTATAGTTTTGGATAGAGTAAAAAAAACATCATGATTGACATAAACAATCGATGAGAGCTACACTCTTAATAAAGAAAGAAATTATCATTTTCGACATCATATTCTTGAAATTGTTGCATCCCTAAAAAGAATAAAAGTGCGATTTTCTAATAATTATTTTCTTAGGGTTTATGCCTTTGGCCAATAATTCAAGAATATCAACAAGAGAAACGCTTAGAAAGAAATTCTACGAATGCCGCTTATGTTAATTTTGCAGAAGCATAGCTATTTTTTCATATAGACTTTTCTCTATTCGACTTGCACAATGTATCATAGAAGAACGCAATGTTTTATTTTATTGGTTAAAAGTTTTTTTTATTTTATTTTTTTCAAATAAGAGAAAAAAAAAATATCAATCAAAAGTCAAGCAGTTTATCTTACATATAATATTCTAATACGCATTAAAAACCAAAACGACCACGATCAATATCTTATTACAATCACAGTAAATCAGTGTTTTTTGTTTTTCGTTAATACTAAAAATTGTCATAGAACAAAAATTTATAATGGACGATTTGAATTTGTTGAATGTGATGGTGAATTTAAAAGATGTGATGACCATCCATATGGATTATGCATTGCAAAATGTGGCCAATCTTGTTCCGATAAACGACGAACTTGTAATTCAGGTTGTGAAGATATTGTTCTTGTTGATATTCTTTGTTGATCATCAGCCGATGAATTAAATGATTCTGCATATGGTCCATCAAATGCTAATGAAGATAATGATGGACGTAAATAATGATCTTGTTCTCGAGCAAGAATATCCATCTGTCTAGTTGGACGTTTAGAAATTTTATGATGATAACGATTTGTTGACCTATTCGAACAAAAAAACAAAGATTTAAAATATATATAGATTAATTGTTGTTTTTTCATTCTAACCGTTTTCGAAGGCATATATAACAAACTACACATAAAATTAACCATAGGATTAATGCAGCAATAACAATAATTAAAATAGACCACCAATCAAGCTAGAAGTAAAAAAAAAAATTTAACAAAAAAAAAATTCATTATCTTCATTTTAAATAATTTACCGCATTGAATGGACTACCAGATTGAGAATCAAGTGAAACCAATGATATTTGATCATTATTTAATAATACCTCATTATTATTTCTTGGTATATAACGTAAATGAACTAATGTCGTTAAACTTGTTTCATTGAATATTTGTGAATAAATTTGTTTAGAGGGTTCAGAATAATCGCCAATATCACCAGATCGCAAACCAATCATATAATCAATTTTAATTTGTCCATTACTAAATATTTAAATTTTTTTAAATAATAGTTTAAAAAAACAAAATACAGTAGATATCAAAATTATTCAACAGGGTTTATTTTAATTTTTTTTCATCTGTCATAAGCATTAGAAAGAATCTAAATGGTAATTTGGCCCTGTACCTATTTTTGGTTAAGATATAGCAATCGGATTAAAGATCAAAACGTGGCTTTTCTATAGGAGATTGAACAAAGGACGTAAAGGGCTTCCGTAAGATTGCTACATCTTAGTTAAAAAAGATCAAAGATAACTTGAAGACATCTCATTTTTGTTGACAATTATGTTTTTTATCGTTCTATGTAGTCTACACAAAACTATATATACATGTGCTATGTGCAGAAAAACTTGAGTTTGGTTTTTTTGTAGTTCCTATCGTTATGAACCAGATAATATTTTTGCTTTCATTATATTCTTGTTAAAAACAGTTTTTTCTATCAGAATCACTATTTGGATTCTTTCTGGTACTCATGACAACGGAAAAAATATTGAAAAAAAAAATCTTGTTGATTAATTTTAGTATACAGTGTACAATACCATGTTTTGATAGTAAATCAAATATTACTTTAGTTGTTATTATTTGCTTGAGCCTTCGTCAAATCATTATAGTTATTAGAAATATGAAAATTAACTTCATGCTTTCCTACGATAAACATGAAGTCTAGATCTTCTTCTACAACAAAACTATTAGCAAAATAACATAATACATTTAGAAAAGTCGTAAGACTATAGACTAATTAAATTCGAAACAGTATGAGAGTTAACAGACAAGTCTATCTTGAATGAGTTGATATTCATAATCAGCTTTTTTCTAGATGAACAGAAGTATTCGTATTACCTAAGTAGACGAATATGAACTGTTCAAAAACTTCAAATCAATTAAACAAAATGAATGTTCCAATCAACACAGCTAATATAGAACTAGCATATGACCACGACAAATGCACTATTCAGTAGATACTATTTAGATTTAGTATATATTATATTATTTTGAAGTTCACCGAAGAAAAGTTCTCCAGTCTTTACTGGAATCAATAATAATAATAATAAGTCAAAGCAATGTTTGTCAACATTATTCTTTCGACAAAAAGAAAATCAGTGCATCATGCAGTCTACGTAGTATTGTTAAATTTTCTGCTTAATTTTGATATATAATTGAGTAAAATTACTTACGAAGGAAGCTCCAAAACTGGTTAATCACTTTGGACTCGGAACTGTGTGCATGAAATGGACTCAAGCAACCTATGAATTCTATGAAAAGAGTTCGAGTCCTTCACTTATTATTGCGAAGATACTGAATTTTGATAGTGCTTTCAAGTTGAATGTTGTAATCCTACTCCGAGATACTTGGAAAACTAATTGTCGAATTTCTACTAGAAAGTTTTCATAGAGACAACCTTTAGTTGGAATAGTTTAGGATGAATATTTCAGATCTTCTGATTTTTCCTATCCTTAGCTACAACTCTGATAAAAGCATCTCTGTTACATCGCTCGTATTGTCTCGCAGACTCAATGTTCTTATTTCAGTATTGGAGGCAATGAAAAGATACAAAACTTTCACAATAAGCTACTCTCATTAAGACATGTCTTTGTACAAAATTTAAATTCAAGTTCAAAACTACTATCAAAAATGCAAGTTCATACTCAAAAGCGATTAATCAGTTGAGAAATTTTTCTCATTCCACATAGTCATAGAACAGAAAATGAAGCTTTTTATAGTTTTTGATACTGATGTGTATTTTGAGTTGATGCAGCTTATCTCAGAGCCAACAACATATTCCTCAAATAAGAAGATACACTGTATAAAATACTTCATTAAATTCTACTGCTGCATGCCATCCTTTTATATTTAGATGAATGTTTTATTTTAAATAACCAGCTATGCATCTGAATATAATTAATCAATTATAAATCTCCTCAATCATTGTCTTTGTTAGTTAAAAGAAAAAAACTTACTCGCATAGTACGGTATTAATAGATGGTATGAATACATCATGTGGTTGAAAAAGATAACTATTTGCTTTTGCCCAACTTAATCGTAATGCTTTATTAATCATGAATAATATTGTTGAATTTAATATTTTATTTTCGACATAAATTGTCCATCGTTTATATGGAATATCTGTATAAATATTTGATAATTGTATTGAATTTGCTGATGGTCGAATAAATTTTAATGTATTAGAATTTATTGTATAAATAAAACGTGTTACTGTTTGACTAGAAGAGATTAGAAAAATAAATGATTAGTCTAGAATTCAAAATAAATCTTATAGTTTACTTTTTATTTGTTAAATATGATGAATCAATAAAAAGTTCTGAAGAAATTTTTATCGGAAAATTATCTAAAGAAAAATAAATGTTAATAAAAGAAAATAATATGAAACGACAAAATTTTGTACTATTCGATTGACGCCATGCATTTTCTAATGCTTGATAAATTTCTTTATCTGGTAAACGTGGTTCAATTAAATATAACGAACGTACTTCATATGAAATACAATTATTATGAAATTTGCCATAAACTTTTTCAAATACTGAATTAGAAGGTGATTTTAAACTATGAACTGAAACATTTTTAATAATATAATCGATTCGAACAGATCGGTTTCTAAAAAAACTCAAAAAAACTTTAATCTTTTTTTTTTTTCTTTTTATTAAAATAAAAATTTACCCATCTGAACAAATATATTGAATTTGATTTTGTAATTGAATAGATAAATTTTTTGAATTATTTAAATTTTCATTTGTCCATAATTGACTAAGACTATCAATAAGTGAAGCTAATTTAGCAATGAAAGTATGCCATTCGAGATAAAGACTATTGATTTCAAGATTTTCGTCGTTATATGTTGAAACACCAGGATAATAAAGTTTAAAATCACATCTAGTAATTAATTGCTTTTGATTGATAAACTAAAAGACAAAAAAAAAATGTTTTAAAGAAAGAAATTCGTTTACAACTTAATCTTACAGTTAAATAAAAACGAGTTTGATTTATATTAAGAGATTCAGCATAAACAACTTTTGCTTGTCCATATTCTAGAAAAAAAAAAAAAACTCTATTAATTGATTAATAATTCAAATAGACATACGTGGATTGTATGATGTTAAATAATTTTCAATATCTTTTCGCATGAAATCATTTATTGGAAATGAAACATTGGCTATATATTTGTGAGCATCAGTGCGTACAATAGATAATTGTTTCATTGGATATAATTCATATTTTCGTGTTTGTATTGTCGAAAAAATCAACTATATAAAACGAAGAAGAATTGAAAACAAATAGAATTATGGATAAAAATTTAGAGTAATTGTGTTTTTAAGTATTCTTCTTAGTTGGTTTTTAGTAAAACTGTTTAGGAAAGCATCTGAAGAAAACCAAGACTCTTGAAACCAATTTTCTGACTTACAGTTGAAACTTTTGAAAAAAAAGACTTTAGTTGATAGAGAAATAGGAGGAGGTGTCTTTGATCTCCTATGATCCTCAATCTTAATAGAGAATCTTTTCAGCTATAGAAATGTTTTGTTTCAAATTTTTGTTAGTTATTACCATCGAAAAGAAAACTTAAAAACACAACTGCTCTGAACTTATGTCGGTCACTATACTTAGATTATCAAAACAAAATTTAAAAAACACATACCTTCAATTGATCATACAATTTTTCTTGATTAATTATTTGATTCGGTATAATCGTGAAATAAACTCGTGTTAGTAATACCATGTCTAATCCAAACCGTGGTTCGATCAATATAGATGAAACTAAATAAAAATGACCTTGTGATTTTTAGATTCGAATATAAAAAATATAATTTAAAATATTGTTCTATTTGAAAACCGATACGCTCGCAAGATGCAAATATCGAAAAAGATAAATGCAGATAATCATCCCGTGGAATGATCATACAGCTCTTCAAATGAGAACTTGAAAAGTAAGGATCTGTTGAATAGTCTGATTCAAAGGTCTATTGGAATCAGAACTAAGATTTCGAATTTTTGACATTGACTGTGCAAAATGTTTATATCAAGGACTACACTAAACATTTTCATATGTTTCTTATTTTATATTGCATAGAGCTCTGTCAATTGTCATTGAACATATCTATCTACGAAGAAGAAAAAAACCATTAATGCTTGTTAAGAACACCAAAATTCAAGTTTATTCTTGCAAATTATCGTTTCACCAAAAGCTCTAAAAACAACAGTTATAATCGGGCACGTTTAAGGGCATTAAACTACCATATCCCATTTCTAGGAGTCCAGCGTGCATAACAGTCTTCCATAAAAAGATAGGCAAAGTTGTTGTTGCATATTCGAAATTCTAATATATGCCTAGACAGGAATCTTCGTATTATGAACGAGTTAAAACCAATTATATGAATATTATGTGTATTCAAAGAGCTCTACATATTACAAACACCCTAAGTACAAGATCATTCCAGCCGATAGAATTCGATAGACACCAAGGTCAAACAATTCGACAGTAAAATCTTACAAAATCGTACGTCTAGTCTTGTACGATCAGAAGAAGATCGTACAAAAGATCGTCGTCTTAGAAATCTTATACTAATTCATATTACGAGACTCTTGAATGATCATGCTGACTTTCAAGATAGTACTATGAGATTATAGGAAATCTTATATTACGATAAGGTGTTTCAAGAATCTTATAGTATGAAATTCCTAAGATTAGGATTTTTTTGTACGATTTCATCAGACCTTACGTCAAAGTTTTCCACTACGACACATAAACTTTATGAATCTTTACATTTGTGATTTTCAATAAGATCTTATATTCTCATATTTTCGTAAAAGATTAACAAAACAATACTGTTTTGTATCTATCCAGAGAAAGAGAATAATGGTTGTAGAAAATCAATAAACAATATTTGAATCATTTTTCATTTATAAATCAGCACTGACTAATTAAAATCATAGAAACTTTCAAATAAAAATTTTTCCTTAAACTTTACATTGAAATATATTTTTTTTTGCCTTATTATTATTATTATTAAATTTATTCATTCAATTTACCTTTACCACTAACATCCATTCGTTCTAATGCTGAAGTAATAAATGCAGCAAAATCTTCTTGATCAAGATCAATTTGTAAATAACTTCCTTTTAAATCAATAAATGATGGTATATATCCAATAGGTATTTGTTCCATATAATGATTTTGTATGTCACATAGATTATGTGTTTTTTGAAATAAACTTAAATTGAAACATGCATTTGGAATAATATAACCATCGAATGTAATAACTGTATATATTACTGTTGTATAGAATTGACTAAAAAACATATCAAAAATTAAAATAAAATTACAAACAAAACATTTCAATTACTTCGATGAATAGGCAAGATATTCTTGTAATTGTATGATATCAATAATTGTATTTGTTAAACCTTGTTTCATTGGATTTTGCCAATAATCTTTTAATATTTGTTCAGCTGATAATTTACTTATTTTTTCTGAAAATGTTATTTGTTGTATATCACGTTGTTTAATAAGATTAATTAGCATTTGATTTGATTTATAATTCAATGGATTTTGTATATAATCAATACTATGAAATTGTTTAGATGATAAAGTTAATGATGATATATATCTTCCATCAAGTTCTTGTCCATTATAAAAAACAAATATATAAATACGTCGAATTGTTTTCATTGAAGTTTTATTTAAATATAAATCTTCATATAAAATTTTAACATCATTACTTATAATTGAATCTAAATAAAAAATAAATAAATAAATTTTTTAATAAAAATTAATTAATTATATTTTATACTTTGTTGATTATATAAAATTAAAATAAGTTTTTCTAAATAATTACGATCATTTATTGATAAAGAATTTGAATAAAAATAAGAATAAGATTTTGAAAAACGATAAACACGATTTGTTAATCGTTGCATTTGATTAGAAATGAAAATTTCATATAATTCATTATTTAATTCAAATGAACTATCAAGCCAAGTACCATTTACATGTTGTAAAAATATATTTGGTAAATGATAAACTTGTCTAAAATAAAAAAATAAATAAAATCGAAAATACAGCAAAAATTAGAATTGAATAAAGACTTACCCAAGACTATCAATAGCTTCTTCAATACCAAATATATTTACATTCATTGTATAAATTCCAGCTTGATGTAAAGCATTATTTAATTCTCTTTCAAGTCTAAAAATAAATCATTTTAATTGATTTCATATATCGGAGTCTTTTTGTGAAACACGGCTTGCTAGGAGTGAATAAGCATAAGAGTAAATATTTGGACTTCCTCTCCAGAATATTAAGTCATAGATTTAAAAAAACAAAAAGCTTACTTTGAAAATTCATGGAATTTTCAGGAGTTTTAGCGACTAAAAAAATAGATTTTCAATGAGAAACCATTTTTTTCACTTAAAATGATTTTGTTTTCCTAAACACCTTTCCACAATAGAAAGCTCCAGGTCTTCTATCATGTCCAAGCGTACAAGTTTGTCAAAGTATCAAAACGATTTCAAGGATTTGGAACAAGTTTTTTTTTGATATTTTAAAAGTCTAGAAATAATGTGAATCTTAATGAGTTAAAATTTTTCAGCTTAAAACCTTGAAAACTAGACATATTTTGACAATACTTACAGGGTGGAGTTCTCCATTACGAGAACAGGTGTAGTGAAAAACCTGGTTTTTCGACATTTTATTGCTAATATCGTCTATTTGAACATCAGAAAAGTTTTTCAAAAAAAGCTTTATAGCGCAGCACTTTTTTGAGGCTGAAATATGGAACCAGCATACATTTTCAGACTGTAGAAATTGTTTCATTAATACTAGTGCACATATTAGTAGATTAATTCTACACTCTTTTCTATCCTTAATTCTCTTTAACTTTAAATTTCACACAATGTTATTCACTATGCAAGAAAATTTTAGCAAATTCACTTTCTGCCTAACAGATCGTATGTCAATAACTTTCTTTTTACTTACAATTGTGGAGTTAGACAAGGAACATGAAAATCCTGAATACTATTTTCTAAGAAAAGAATTTGTCTTTCTTCTGAGCATAATAAATATTCATTTTCTTGTTGAATAGTTGAAAGAAGAATTGAATTCATTGATAGATTATTAGTCATTGTTTGATTATATGTTATTCCATCGATTGTTATTAAGAAATATCCAATATTTGCTGATTGACTAAAGAGAAAAATTTCCCCAAGAAAACAACAAAATAGTTTTTCTTTTTTTTTTGTCAACAAATAAAATCAATTTACCCAGTGGTTGTAACACCTTCTTGAACACCTTTAAGCATCACATTGACATTTGATTCTCCTTTTTTTTAATGAGAAAGAACAACAGATTAACTATTTGAATTTTTTCGTACAAAAAATAATTCTTTACCGGTAGCAGCAGAAACTGCTTTTGTAATTAAATTAATCCATAATGAAATTTCATTTAATGGAATACATAATTTTAATTGTAGAAGAATATTTAATGATATGTATGGAATACATTGTTGATAATATCGGTAAGGTATAGTATTCAAAATATCATTAATTGATGCTAATGGTTCAATATTTGAACCAAGAATTATTGATGATTCACTTGCTATTACAAAATGTATTCGTGTCATTATATTACCAGTTATTGTTATATAATGTTCAATATTTAATGGTGTAGCAATATAAGATTCTATTTGAGAAAAGTTCACAGATTAATTGAAAAAACTGTCTTGTATTAAACTTACGTATTGATCTAATTGAGTTTCGATGAATAGTATAATATGTACCAATTGTTTGCATTAATAATTGAATATTTTGATTGTTAATTGAAAGAAAATAACCACATATATCAATAATATATGGTTCAATAGATGTTGATGGATTTCCAAAAGCACCACACGTAGAAACATATTGAGTATCTGTTGGTTGTTGAATCAGTGCATTTAATGGTATGGTTGGAAGTATAGTATAATTAAAATTATAAATAATAACTTGAGTTCTAAAGAGAATATTATTATGAAAATTTTATTTTAAAAAACGCATGTCAGCGCAACCCTTTTAGTACTGAAGTATAGAGCGCATATATGTCCTTTAAGCTCGTTATACTAAAATAAAATGTGTAAATTAGAAAATCTTCAACAGACTATAGTTGTTTATTAAGAATAATCGATCACTAGAGAAATTGTGTTTCTTAATTTAACATTGTTATTATAATAATTCTAACTATTGTTTTAGATAATAAATGTGCCTATCATAGATATCTTTTATATCTACAGCAGATCTCAACGCACTATTATATATCTTGATAAGTTCACAAATATTAATATTCATTATTTCCGACACTTATAACTTGCACAGTTCATACTTTTCATGTTGATTATCTAAACACTGGCAAACCAATATATTACTATCCGTGTGACATGGAATGTCAAGAATGATGATAACCCATGGTGTACGTTTGTTCATACTACCATCGATATAACGCAGTGCTCATAAGAACCGATGATATACCAGTAGTAGATTGTCGATCAGAAAACACCTATTGATATTCTGCGGTGAAGTAGGAGTTAAAGAATAGCTAACTGTTTAAATATCAAACTGCTTGTTGGTGCGGCGTAATACTTTTCTTCGTAGCTAGAGGATGATTAAAGACTATTTTGATGCTCGTTGTCCTCAATTACTAAACTTCCTATGTTTCTGCGCAAAAAAACCTTTTGTGAGTCCAAAGAAATAAATAAATATAAAAAAGAGAAACAAATGAAACTTTACTGATTAATATAAGTTGTTTGATATGAACTAAGATCAATAGAACGTGTTTGATTATTTAATAAACGACGTGTTGCTAATATTTTACATAAAGTTGAATAAAATTCTGATGATGAACTTGCAATTAAATGTCGATTTTTTGATTGATCAAATGAAACATAAAGTGATTGATTAAAAGAACTGATTTCATATTGTTTTATTATTGATGGATTAATATCAATTCGTGTATTATTATTGGTTAATAACCATTGCCATCGATTTAATATTGAATTATATATTCCACTTGTCCAAAAATCTAAGATAAATTAACTATTCACATTTACAAAAAAAAACAAATCAAATAAACTAACCTCGAGTGAATCCATAAGAAAATAAAGCTGGTAACAAATGTTGTTCTAATTCATCAGTAGAGTGAAACCAAACTAATTGTGTTTGTTGTTTTTCACATTCATTTATTGCTTCTCGTTGATTTTTAAGAAAATTTTGTTGATTCATTCGATAACAATATGGATAAAATGATGTTGGAGTAACAAGATTATACGGTGATGGACATACTAAATTAGTTTATAAGAGACTCTATTATTCTATACCTAAACTAATTTACCTAGTAAAACATTTAGACTATTCCAAACTTGATCAATACATTGTACGACATTTTCCCATGATGATCCTAAAGAATTATTTCAAACTTATTAATTGAAGTTTTTTGTTTATCTTTTACCTCCTAATCGATTAGTTGGAATTACAATTTGTCCTGGATATGTTCTATTTGTTGATATAATTGGTACTTGACAAAGATGACCAGTAAATGTCGATGGACATAAACATGAACATTGACAATTAGTTGTATTCATAAGTCGAGTACCATTATTTTGACATATTGTTAACGAACATATATCAAATGGAGTTTCACATCGTGATCCTTAATTAACAAAAAAAAAGAAGAAAAGAAATAAAACATTATAGTTCCGAAACATTTTCTTTTTTGAATCAATTACCAGTAAATCCACATGGACATTTACATTGACGAGAATTATTTTGAATAGAACAAATACCACCATTAAAACAACTGTTTTTAGTACATTGTGAGATACTACAATCAGATTCTAAAAGGAAATTAAAATAGATTTTTATCAAATTTGTATTTTTAATATAATTACCTGTAAAATCATGTGAACAAGTACAAATATATAATCCATTGCCTAAATTTGAACAAGTTCCACCATTTACACCTAAAATAATCAATTGATTTTTATTATTTTTATTTTTAATTATAAATTATTGCTTACATGGATTTGTATCACATATATCAAATGGTATATCACATGTCTTGCCTAAATAAATTTGAATCAATAATCAAATAAAACAACATATCGAAATAAGTTGATGAATTATACGCATCAGTGTACAAAAATAAATTATTTTTCAATAATACATAAGTTTCAGTAATAAAAATAATTTTCTCATCTTTCATCGATTAAAGAATGTTTCGAAAAAATTAAGGATATCTATTAAAAATCTACGTTAGAGGCTATTTCTAAATATAATGCATAAAGAAAAAAAAACAAAATCTATCTGATTTTGTTTTTGCATTAATAAATCAATCTTCACATACAATAAATTGACATAGCTCATAAAAAATAATTTTTAATTTTAAAGTGTCGATCTTTCCTCTATACAATGGTTACTAAACCATGCAAAATATAATACGGTATTATTTTACATAACATTGAAAAACTAGTCGTACTGTAGGCTTCTAATTAGAATCATCAACATCAGGTCTTTGACAGAATTATATTAACAATATCAGAGAATACTGACAATTATTATTTTATAGTCTGTTACGGAACGGGCCCATCGATAAAGAACGTTCAGGAAAAAAGGGAAAGGAAAGATCAGACTAAATATGGACAAGATGGCTCCACGACAAACACTTTTTCTTTGGAAGTGATATCTTTTATAGTTGTGTAAAACTTGTATTAAATGTTATGTTCTTATGACTCATGTCTTCTAAAATTTTATGTGAAAATCATTGAGAAATGATCTCTCTCTCTAATACTTGCTGTTTCAATTTTTGATAGTAAAATATCTTGACGTTCTCTATGGATGAATCCAATAGTGTTATTCAAATTAGAGATCTATCATCAGTTTCACATTTAAACATGAATAATAAATCATAGAACTCTTTGTTCTTTGTCAATTCTTTTATCATGTTATCTAAAAAAAACCTTTGCACTGTTTACTATCACGTTTATGAAGAATTTATAACAGTGAGTCTAACAGATAAAAAGGGATTAACAAAATATAATCGAAAACGTTCGAGATAATCGGAAAATACTGAGAAAACAACTGTTTTTTTTCTTAGCCATCTCAACTCGGTGTTTTCTTGCACATTAAACTTTACTGCTGTTCGAATATGTGCCCATTACTGAAAAAGAATGTGAATATTTAGTTAGAAAATGCTTTCGACAAACGTTTTTGAATAAATATTCTACGTTGTTCATTACCGGTAAATCCAGGTTTACATATACATTGAAATGTATCTTTATTTTTATTTTGACATGTTCCATGTACACATGGATTTGGTTCACAAGCAGAAGCTAATTCACAACTATAAAATACACAAACCATTGAACTAAAATGATTCACATGTCTTAAACTTACAAAGTTCCATAACGTCCAAATGGACATAAACAAATTTCTTTTCCTGAGTCATAATCAGCAATACATGTTGCATTACTTTGACATGAAGTTTTCGAACAAAGATTTCTTTGTTCAGAACATTTTAAACCAGTATAAAATGTTGGACATACACAAGTATAATTTGTTAATGATAATGTTAAACATGTTGAATTATTTAAACATGGATTTGAATCACATGGTAATAATGATTTATCACAATTTTTACCTGTTATACTCGTAGGACATAAACATTGATATTCACCATTTAAAAGATTAATACAAGTGCCTGTTCGACATGGATTTGATGAACAACCAAGTGATATTGTTTCACAATGAGAACCTAAAATATTTCAGAAAAATAACAACAAATAATCTCAATACGAATAATAAAACAAAAAATACATGGAACTGTGTGTGCATCTGAGTGTAACTTAGAAGATACTCCTGACATTGTTCTAGTTTCGAAGAATCAATGTTTGAAATAGTGAGACAAATGATTATTGAACTATTCACAATCTAGTATGTTAAAACATGACTTGACATGTGTCTGCTAACATATAACGGCATTTTATTTTATTTGGTATGACTTTTCTTTTAATCGAGAGAGAATAAAAAATTTTTAATAATTATTTCATTCTTACCAGTATACGCCGTAGGACAATTACATTGCCAATAAGGATAAGTTTCATTTGACATACAGATGCCCCCATTAATACAAGGCATTGATCGACATGGATCAAAATTTTCACAATTTTTACCATAAAAACCTGTTTTACAAAAACATGAATATGATCCATATGTATTCAAACATCTGCCACCATTTCCACAAAGTCCTGCAATCGTTCTACATTCATTAATATCTGCACATCTAAAATTAAAAAAAAGAACAATAAAAAGCATTCTTCATCAAATTTCTTTTCATATGAATAACATACACGCCCATTATAAATTGAAATCCAACTGGACAATTACATGTATAAGAAAAATTTCCATTTGATATACATTGTCCAATTAAACATGGATTGTCTTCACAAATATTCATTTCACATAATTTTCCATAATATGAATATGAACATTGACATTCACAATTAATTAATGATGTTCTTATTGCTATTCCATTAACACATGGATAATGTAAACATGGATTTATTTCAATTTCACAATTATTTCCTGAATAACCAGCTTGACAAGAACAAGCATATGTTAATAATCCTGTTCTTATACACGAACCACCATGATAACAAGGTGTTGATTGACATGGATCAATTGGTATTGAACATGTTGAACCTTGAAAACCATTTGAACAAATACAAGTATAATTTTGATACATTGGTGTTGATATACATTTTGATGATGGTCCTCGACATGGATGACTTAAACAAGGATTAAACATTAATTCACAATTAATACCATAATATGGCCATGGACATTGACATATATAATAATATGGTGCTGGTTCTGAGCATTTACCTCCATTTTGACAAGGATTACTTTGACAAACTTGTACATTAACTTCACAATTCATACCTGAAAATCCATTTGGACATAGACATGTATATGATGATGTTCCATCAGATAGACATGTTCCTAAATTTTGACATGGTTGTGATGTACATGGTGCATATAAATATTGACATTGAATACCCGTATATAATGATGGACATTGACATTTAGCACTTGGTGGTTTTGTTGGAAGATTAACACATGTACCATTATTTAAACATATTAATGATGTACATTGATTAATTAATATTTCACAATGTATACCAGCATAACCAGATTGACAAACACATTGATATGTATTTAAACCTTGAATACAAACACCACTGTTTAAACATGGATTTGAACTACATGTATCAATTAATATTGAACAATTTCTACCTATTGCACCTGGTAAACATTTACAATCATAACCATTCATATCATCTAAATAACATTGACCATATAAACATGGTGATGGTTTACATAAATCTATTGATATATTACATTGTTTTCCTGTATAACCTTGATAACAATCACAAATATAATCATTTAGATTATCAATTGTTCGACATTGTCCATATAAACATGGACATGATGAACATGCACCACTTGATAACCTTGTGTCACAACGAAGTCCACTATAATCAATTGGACATGTACAATTAGCTAAACCAGGACTAAGATAATTACAAGTACCACGTATACAATATGAATTATTTAAACATGGATTAATTGGTATATCACAATGATTACCCATATAACCATTGGAACAAACACATGAACAACTTGTTGAACTTAATACAAGTGGTACACCATATTTACATGTTGTTGATGAACAATTATTTATTGGTGTTTGACAAATTCTACCTGTATACAATGATGAACAAAGACAAATAAATGATGTTAATTGTGATATACAAGTTCCTTGATTTTGACATGGATTTGATGAACACCAATTGATTTCAAATTCACATTGTAGACCAGCATAACCTTTTTGACATAAACATTGATAACTAAGACCATTATTTGTATTTCGACATATACCATTATTTAAACATGGATTTGAAATACATGGTTGAATTTCATTCGTACAATTTATTCCATTATAACCTGGTTGACATATACATTGATAACCATTTAATGTATCTAAACAAATACCATGATTTTGACATGGCATATCTAAACAAAATGAATCACGTAATTGACAAAATTCTCCATGATAAGAGTTACGACATGAACACTTATGTAAACCAGGTGCAATATCATAACATGTACCACCATTTAAACATGGAGATGATTGACATGATTGTATACGTATAACACATGTACGACCTTGAAAACCATATGGACATTGACAAGCAAATGATGTTGCTTGATTTATACAGGTACCATTATTATAACATGGATTCGATGAACAATAATTTATAATTGTATCACATCTTTGACCAGTATAACCCGGAAAACAATTACATTGATATGAATTAACTAATGGTATACATGTACCATTTAAACATGGTGCACTTAAACATGTATTTATTTGATTTTGACATGATAAACCAACATAACCGGATAAACATGAACATATTCCTGTTGATAAACTTGTTCGAATACATGTACCATTATTTAAACACAACATTGATAAACATGGATCAATATTGTTTTCACAATGAACACCAGTATAACCTTTTAATTAAAAAAAAATTTATTGAAAGAGGAATGTCGTTAGATAATGGAAGCGATTCTCTCACAAAATTGAGTTTCCTATTTTCTTCATAGTATATTAGAATATCACAAGTCAATTATCGTTCGCATTAGACGGTTAGATCTTATTTCAACTGTGTACCGTTGACTCAAAGCTCGATATTATCGATATTTCATAGCTCTGTTCAATTTAGTATTTATGTAAAAAGTTTATCTGACTTTCTGAGTTCCTTTTGTTTGACTAACGTATACATCAAATGGAAGTATTTTCTTTGATCTATCGAATAACATATACGAGTATGACAAACTATGGTGCATTTCCTTTTAGGTTTCGATAAGACTATCCGCTTGTATAAACAATCTAAGAACACTCATGACAAAACTCTCTCACTGTTGAGTTGTGAAAGTGATGGTTTACTTTGAATAATATATCATTCGATCGAGTTTTCACAATTCTACAAAATGATATCATTGTTTTGAGACTCGCTTGCAGCTAAGACAATGTAATGAAACGCACAATGTTCACGAATGCCAAAAGTTGCTCTCTATGATTGATATTTGATGAATTTCAGTCAGAATAATCAGACTTCCTATCAAAAGCAATAATATGTTTGGAATCACTATCGAAAACTGAGAAAATCTATATATGTTATGAAATTTTCGAACAATTCTTGTTGGCATTGAAAAGTGAAGGCAGTCATAATATCGTTTTTTTTATTCATGTGTCATATTTGACTTTTTTTACAACTTAGAATTGAGTTTTGACAATCACGCTGATGTTTTAGCTGAATCTATTTTTTAACGATCATAAAAGTTGTCCGAGAAATTTGTGATATATATGGTTCGATTCAGTTTTTAATGCTGATTCCAAACATACTATTGCTTTTGATGGGAAGTCTGATTATTCTGACTGAAACTCATCAAATATCAGTCAAAAAGGATAACTTTTAGGACTTATGACATAGCGGCATTTGATTAAAATATCTTACCAGAATAGTATTATTTTGTAGAGCTTTGAAAATTCTATCGAATGATATATTATTCAAAGTGAATAACTACTTTCAGAACTCAACAGTTAGGAATTTTTGTCATTCCATGTTCTTAGATAGTACATAGAAGAGAAGAATCTCATTTAAAACTAAAAAGGAATGAACAGTATTTTGTCATTCTTTTTTATGTTATTTGCTTGATGAGACAAAGTAATTTCATTTGATATTTACATCAGTCAAACAAAAGGAGCTCAAGAAGACAGATCATTTTTCCGAAGTCTAACATTCTAATTCGAAGGGCAATTGACTACTTGAAAAATAAGAAATTAGATTTCACAAGAAGGAAGCGATTTCATTGGTTGATGACTCCCGTGCTTTGATCAAACGAAAAAGTAAAATGTATTATTTTTATTTACCATTTGGACAAAGACATTGATATTGATTAAGTTTTGATTGTAAACAAATTCCATTATTTTTACATGGCTGTGATACACATTCATTTATATCAATTTCACAATGGTTACCTGTTAAACCCAGTGGACATACACATTGATAACCATCCTTATTTGTTACACATGTACCATTATTTAAACAAGATCGAGAATTACATTGATAATCAACATATTGACATTGTGTACCTGAATATCCATTTGGACAAGTACAATTAAACATATTTGATGATGTTCTACTACATGTGCCACTATTTAAACAAGGTAAACTATCACATTGATTTATTTCAATTTCACAATTAAATCCTGTATAATCTGATGAACATAAACAATAATAAAATCCATTTGAAATTTCATGACATGTTCCATAATGACATGGATTTGAATAACATGCATTAATTTTTATTTCACATTTTTTACCTGTATAACCATATGAACATTTACATTGAAAATCATTATTTGATGTTAATGTACATGTACCATTATTTCTAAAAACAAAGTCATATTGAACAATTAAGATTTCGATGAAAATAGATTATATGTTCCGAACATAAAGTTTTTTCTTATTTGTCAGATTGATTAGAATCCGTAGAATGCAACATTCTTGAAATCGAATCCGAACACGCATCACTGATTTCAACAAAATTTTTTAGTCTAAGTCTGAATTCGGTCTTGTAATAAGCGAATCCTAATTGACTGTTACTTTTAGATTATGACCAGTTTAATCGATCACAAATTGAACCTAGACTCGGACTAGTGATATAATCAGAAAAAAAGAGTTTTAGTTAAAATTTAGCTTCTTGACCATAGTCATAGAGAGAGCTCAAGTGCATGTTGAAGCGCAGAACTCAACTGCTTTTAAGAAGTTGAGTTCTCTCTGATAATCGTCTGATTATGCCGCTAACTGATAGTTAGGCCTAGCTGAATATGATACCAAATCGACGGGCTCTAATATCGACAAACATATGTTCGATATTAAACTGTAAGATATACTTACAAACAAGAGTTCGTCGAACATGGTTTTAATATTTTTTCTTCACAATTCTTTCCTTGATAATCAGATAAACAATGACATTGATACGTATTAATTAATGATTGACAAATACCATTATTTTGACATGGTGAATTTTGACATTGATCACTTATATTCTAAAAAATAAGTAAATAAATATTATTTCTTCAACAATCAAAATTTTTAATTTACATCACATAAAATTCCATCATATCCTTGATAACATTGACAAATAAATCCATTAACTTTATCAATACATCTTCCATGTTCACATGGTTGTGTTAAACAATCATCAACATTAATTTCACATATTTGTCCATTAAAACCAGGTAAACATTGACATCTATATCCAAATGGTTCTATATCAAGATCTCTGATACATGTTCCATTATTTGCACAACTTTTTTGATTTAAACATGGATCAATTTGTTCAGAACAAGTTAAACCAGAATACCATGGTGGACAAATACACATAAAACTATCTAAATTATCAATACAAGTGCCACCAGATAAACAAGGATTTGAAGAACATTTATTGATTTCTATTTCACAATGAACTCCCGTATATGATGATGATGAACATATGCAATCATATCCATTTATCTAAATAAACAAGTTCATACAATCAAAAAAAACAGACAAATTTTCTTATTACCTTATTAACACACAATCCATTAATACATGGTGAACTTTCACAATAATTTCTTTGTATCTGACAATTTGATCCAGTAAAACCATCTGAACATTCACATGTGTAATTCCAAACTTGATCTATACATGTTCCATTATTTAAACATGGATTTAATACACATTCATTTGAAGTTTTTTCACAATTTAAACCAATATAATCTTGAAGACATACACAACGATAATCATTTATTAATGATATGCATAAACCATTATTTAAACATGGATTACTTGAACAATGATTAATCATTGATGAACAAGTCGATCCCTTTTTATTATAAATATTTATATTCAAATAAAATAAAACAAAAATATTACAAAATCTTTCTTACTGTATATCCTTGTGGACAATCACATTTAAATCTATTAATTAACGTTCGACAAAGTCCTCCATTTAAACAAGGATTTGATTGACATTGATCGATTTGAGTTTCACAATAATAACCCGTAAAACCTACAAAATCGTCTTGGAAAAAAAGAACAAAGATTCTTAGCAGTTTTTTCTTACCTGGATTACAGAGACATGAAAAATTATTAAAACCATCAATACATCGTCCAGAATTTAAACATGGATTTACTGGTTCACATTCATTTCTTTCATTTTCACATCGATCTCCTAAATCATTTTAATAAATTGTTGTATTAAAAAGAAAAACAATTTTTATTTTTCTTTACCCATAAAGCCATTCGGACAAAGACAAACATATTTATCAATCAACGATCTGCATGTTCCATTATTTTCACAAGGTTCAGATTCACATTGATCAATGATAGTCTCACAAAATATACCTGTAATTCCATTTGAACATGTACACTGAGGTCCTAATTCTGTATTTGAACATATTCCACCATTTAAACACTTAACAAAAATAAAACAAATAATTTTGTGAAACACAATCAAGACAGAGTTTTCAAGTATAAGGATAAAAAGTTGAACTACCACTCAATATGTTTGATCTTCTGTCAATCATAAACATTAGCAAACAATGACGTTTGTGAAGTGAGTAGTATTACAACAGATCGTCCTTGTTGGCAGGAACGAATCATGGTAGACTTCGTTCGCCTTTTTCTTCGCCTCCCTTCCCTCCTTCCTCAGTCACTACGTGATGGATGTTGATAGAAATCAGACTGCATATAAGTAAAGTTTCACTGTAGTATATGAACTAAACACTTCTCTTCTATAGGAGACTCTGAGTGTTCTATTTATTTCCAAAATTTTCAATTAAAAGGATTTTTTTCAGAAAACTAAAGCGATCTTGAGGATTTGAGATAATATTTTTAGGATTTTTAATGTTAAGATATAATGCTGACCTCAGATTTTTAAGGTTTTTAGCTGAAAATCTTGAAAACTAGACATATTTTCATGTAAATATACTAATTAAAGTTCAAATTTTTTTGAGAAATTAATTAATTAATGAAGGGAAAAGTCTTTGATTATGTCTGGCGTATCTTTCTTTGCAAAAAAGGAAAAGGGTATTCTATTGTGCGGAGCAGTTTACTTGTTTATTGTATTTCTATAGAACTAAGCGCAAAAATGGAAAACATACGTATCATAAAATACATAAAGTAAAATAATCTGTCTGTATTTAGGAAGAGTAGTTCCATCGTGTTTCACATTTTAGTCTCACAGAGATGATGATAACAGATTTTTTTTATTGTTTTTCAATTTATTATTGAATCAAACTTTCCTTACAGGTTGTGATTGACAATAATCAATAATCAATTCACAATTTTCTCCATGATATCCTTTTGAACATAAACATGTTAAATTCATTCCATTATTTATACAATGACCACCATTTAAACATTGTATTCCTATACATTTCTCTTGTAAATATTCACAATTAATACCGGTATAAGTCAATGGACAAATACATTGATAACTATTTTGAAAATCAATACAAATTCCACCATTTAAACACTAAAAATAAATAATCAATATTTCTTAAATTATTATTGATCTTTTCTTTTTCATTTACCGGTTGCGATAAACATTCATTTACATTGATTTCACAATATCGACCAGAATATCCTGGTTTACATAAACAATTAAATGATGATGTTTCTGTTGATATACAACGTTCAACACCTTCGATTGAACATGGATTTGTTATACAAACATCAATTAATTGTTCACATTCCATTCCTGTATAACCTGGTGCACAACAACAACTAAATCTTGTCGATAAACTTGTACAATTTCCATTGAATCCACATGGTTTTGATAGACATTGATCAATCATTGTTTCACAATTTTGACCTGTATATCCATGATTACATTGACATTTATATGATGGTAATGTTGGTGTACAACTTCCATGTATACAAGGAAAACTTAAACATGGATTAATTATTTGTTCACATCGTTGACCAGTAAAAAATGGTGAACAAAGACACATATATTCTTCATTATTATTTATATTTAAATCTCGACATGTACCACCATTTAAACATGGTAAACTATTACATTGACTTATCATTGTTTGACATCTTAAACCTGTATAACCTGATGAACATAAACATAAAAAACTATTTATTTGATCAATACATGTGCCATTATTATAACAAGGTGTTGCTTGACAATCATCAATATTTATCTACAAATATAATATCAATTTTCTCGTTTAAAATATGGTTCTTTTTTTTTTCATATCATTAAAAACAGAATCTATCTTACTTCACAATAAACACCCGTAAAACCTGATTGACAATGACAAGTAGGTAAACTTCCAAAATTATTTACACAAACACCATTATTTAAACAAGGAGATGTTTCACATTGATCAATCGCTGTTAAACAATTTTCTCCTGTTAACCATGATGGACATACACATTGATATGAACCAGGTAAATCAATACATGTCGAATTTGGATGACATGATAATGGAAATAAACATTCATTTATATTTTTTTCACAGATAGTTCCTGTCCAACCCAATGGACATAAACATGAATAAGATTCAATATTATTAACACAAGTACCTTAGAATATTACAAATAAACAAAACAATTTACTTCACAAGGAAAAAAAAATGTTCATGTCGCAATTGTGTGTACTTACCATGGTTATGACAAGGAATACTTGAACATGAATTAATTTCAATTTGACAATTTGTACCCGTAAAACCCGTTAAACATTTACAATTATATTTATTGATGTCATCAATACATGTACCAGCATTTAAGCATGGATTGGATAAGCATTCATTAATACTATCCTTACATTCAATTCCAGTCCAACCAGGTTCACAAATACAAGACGATGTTGATGGTGTTAATTCAACACATGTTCCATATAAACATGGATTATTCATACATGGATTTAATTCAATTTCACAATGAGTTCCTAAAAAAATACAAAAAAAAAACAATATCGAACTTCTCTAGTTCGAGCATTTTTAAACGAATTTCACTGATGTAAATTTCAAGAAAGATTTTGAAATTTATTTGAACGTTCTAAGCTATGTTATTAATGCCATACAATGCCATCGTTCCTATGACTGTCAGTAATGTTCAAATCATTGATCTCAACTCTCATCAACATGCTATCATCCGGGCTACTAAGAGCAGAACTAGAATATCTCATCTTATAACTCACTATTTTCTTTTATCAAATACATGAGTTCTACTAAAATGCAAAGTATCTTTCTATTGTAGTTTTTATTTATCTTACCAGTAAATCCTACACGACATGTACAATTAAAATCAATTGAATGTGTATCACTTATAACTGATGTACATGATATCGAATTCGATGCAATACATGGATTACTTATACATGAATCAATTGGAATACTACAATCATTTCCTTGATAATGTTCATTACATTGGCAATAATAACTACCCATTGTATTGATACATTCACCACCATTTTTACATGGTTCACTTTCTAATAAACATTCATCTATATCCCCTACACAATTTGGAGGATCTGTAAAACCTTGTGGACAATGAATTATATTATTATCTAAACAAGTTTGATTAAAACATGTATTCATTCGAATTGAACAAGTTGTTCCAGTAAAATCTGATGAACAAGTACAAACATAACCTGTGGCTACATTAGAACAAATTCCATTATTTTCACACGGATGTGATAAACAATAATTAATTTTAACATGACAAAATTGTCCTGTATAACCAGGATAACATATACAACTAAATGAACTTGTATTATCTAATAATTGACAAATACCATTTTGACATGGTGAATATTGACATGGATTTTGATTTATTTCACATAATGGACCTGTGTAAACAGAACTTGAACATAAACATTTATATCCAGTAGACGTCGATAAACATAAAGCATTATTTTGACAAGGATTATTTGCACAAGGATCAATAGATATTTCACATAGACGTCCTTTTATATAGTCACATTTATTAATTAATTTTAAAAATGAACATGTTACTTACCTGTGTAAGTAGGCGGACAACAACATGAACCATTAAAACACGAACCACCATTTAGACAACCTGTTGAAATTGGACATTCAGGATCAAATATAGATGCAATCATTTTTTGTGTACATGTATTATTTGGACCCCAACCATATAAACAAGTTTTTTCTCCGTTTGAATTACAATCAAAATGTCCTTGAGAACATGAATTTGATGGTGAACATTGAATTGTACAATTAGAACCATAGTATGATGATGGACATTGTTGTTTTTCTTGACAATGTAAACCCATATAACTAAATTATAATGAAAGAAAAATAAAACTCAACTTTCATTAGTTATATTTACCCATGCAGACAAGTGCAAACAAAATAATAGGTTCGTGAAATAGTATCATAAATTGGACTACATGAACCACCATTTAAACAAGTTTGACCAGATGTACACGTTGAAAGATATTGACAATTTACACCAGTATAACCTAAAAATTTTTGAAGCAAAACAAAAAAAAACCAATTCTTGCAAAAAAAAAGAAAAATAACTAGCGTACCAATAGGACAACAACATGTCGATTGATTATTTCGACAAAATCCTCCATTGTAACAAGTTAATCCTTAGAATTTAAAAAAAAGCAATTAAATACTTTTTTTTTTTAATATTAACATAAGTCATTTAGTTTTACCAGATGATAAACATGTCGAAGATGTATCACGTATTGAACATTCACTTCCATACCAACCAGATGAACAAATCTTTTGACCTGTTATTGGATTACAAGTATATGAACTTGTACAATCATCATTTGGAATACATTGAATCGAACATTGTTTACCATAATATGTTGGTCGACAATAACTTTTTAAAGCAATAATCATTCTAATAGAAAAGAATTTTTGTTTTTTTGATGAACAAAAGAAAACGTGAATATAAATCAAAATATGATAAAAGCATACTGATTGATATTTGATTGTTTTTTTGATAGATCATTCAATGTTGATTGTTGAAAAACTTCATCAGTTGAAGATGAATATGACATGTCAATAAGAAATGTTGTATAGAAATAATTGAGTAACATATTCATATTATCATAAAAAACAAATATTTTTATATCAATTGAATTCTATTTAATTCATAATAAAGAAACAAAAAGAAAGAATGTCAATAAATATATATTTATTTACATATAAAATGCTTGACAAACTCACATCATTTATTTGTGGTAATTCAAATTGTAATGGTAAAATATCAGTCATATTTTTTATTGAATAATAATTAAATAGATTAGTATTATTTATTTTTGTTCGTATTAATTTTTTTCCCAATGGACATAAAGTCCAATTTGTTTGAATTTCACTAAAGATTTAGATGAAAATTTCTTTAGGCTATGTAGACATTTATATTTACTTTTTAAATTTCTCTTTTTGTCTCAAGGGTCATACTCTCATTCTTATTTGTACGATCAACCTATACTGATACTAGGACATTGAGTGTTATGCCAGACAAGTGGCATCACCTTTTATCGTTCTATATACACACACGTGTATATTGAAATAACAGAACAAAAAATCAATTATACTATGCATTTAGAAAATTTCTCATATTAAAAAAAAAAAAAGAATATACTTATTGATGAAATCCAAACAGACAATTGTATTTAGATGACAAGATGTTGATATAGGACAAAAATTTGACGAAGGAAATGAACCGTCACAACATTGACCATTTGTTGTAATACCCGTTGGATTGTGAAATTGAAGTAGATTAACAAGTAATATGAATGGTGATTCTTGACAATCAATCTATATTTATAATACAAGAAAAAAAAAGAAATGAATTTTTTCTTGTGTTCGATTTCTTATGAAAATTAATTGATGATGCCAATCAGATTAGTGTCCTTCTTTCTTTTTTTTTGTTATGTCGGTTATTCAAATAAGCTTTTTCTCTCTTATCTTTGCAGACGAGTGGTGGTGTACACACTTGACTATCATCGATGAACTAACGATGCGCATACACATAAGTACTTCGTCAGTTTTACAAATAGAAACAAAATGATCAACTTTGACTTTGAATAAATCAAAAAAGAAATTTACGACTGCACTTGACTAATGATTAAAGAATATGCAAATAATCATATATAGATGTGTACATTCAATAATAGAAATGAAATTTTACCTGTCGATTATGGAGTAATAATAATAATAAAAATATCAATAACATATTGTTCCAAATGAAACAATCTTCAATAAAAGAAAAAAGATTCAAAAGAAAAGTGTCATTTCTTATATGTGTTCTTAAAGATCACAAACACAATAATGTTTAATACACAAAATGATAATGTTTGTCATCGTTTTATTCCTTGAAAAGAACGAGAAGAAAAAAACGAATATTGATTCTTCCTCCTACACGTTCATGCTCACATAGTCGACCTAAATAATTATTAGATATTGAGAAATGAATGAATAGGTGCGACAAAAAAAATTCGAACAAGTTTGTCACGTCGGTCTGTGTAAGTTGTGTAGTAATCTGTTAGACTAACGTTATAAAGTAGAATAGCAGCAACAATGACGAAAGAAAAAAACGCCTTCACTCCCTCCCGTTATCCTAGAGTTGTGTATATTAGAAGGCGGTGACAACGGTATGCGTTCGATGAATGAATAGATGGTAAATTGAGAAAGATTGAAAGAGGGAGAGAGAGAGAGAGAGACAGAGGGAGAAAGAGGAACTAAAAGATGCTATCGTATCAACAAGTTGGATTTTGATTGTGCATAAACGATTTTCTCTCTTTCTCTCTTCATACTTATCTGGAAGAATTCTTTTTTTTTATTCTGTCTGAAGCCACGAATCTGTTTGTGTTACTATTCTTCCACTATATTGAACTTTCGTTCTCTCCCTTTTTATGTCCAACTATTGCAGTGACACACATGCAGGATATTTTGTCCTATTCTGTAATGTCTTGCACAGTGGCACTCACCGCCCACACATATAGACATATATATATATTGAACTAGTCGTAGATGTCTGTATCAAAAAGTCTGAATAGACATATACCACACCTCATTTTCAATTCTTGTTTCGCTCAATTGTTTTCGGCCTTTAGCTATTTGCATGCGTCGTTCATTCATTGTTCATTGTTACCGACATAACTCTATGATGATGTATAATATGCGACTGTAAAACGAAAAATCAATTCAGACAAGTCCATTAAGAGAATTGACTTCAAATTAGTCATAAATTTACAGTAGAGTATGACATTTATTGAATGATCAATAAATAAATGGATGAATGAATTTTTTTTTTATATTTACACGTGTAATGTATTTAAACTTTTTATTTTCTTTCTTCATGTATGACATATATCATGAAATTATAGGACGATTGCACGATATCCATATATTTGTCCAAGTACACGTTTAATGATGGTCTTTGTTCTGAAGCAATGATTTCATTTGATGAGTCACGTAATTTTCACTCCGATTACAGTTCTACTTGACAAGTATTGTATCAACTATCCTATTCAGTAAATCAAAAAAGGGTTATATAACTGTTTTATCATATCGATTCAAGAAAATGACTCCAATAATTGTTGATTGTACAAAGCTATTTGTTGCTTAATATCTCATGAGAAGTAACAAAAACTATGTAATAAACGATTTATTAGCTAATCATATCATGAATTTTCAAACAACTTGAGTTATCAAGAGAGGGATATTATTTAGATGCCCTTTGTATGTCTAAAAGAACTTTCTTCTATTGAACTTTTTGTTTTTTATATGAAATATGAACCAACATGCGATCATATAATTAAACGTTGTATTGAGTACATTATATCTATTTTACATATTATCTGTGTACAAACGTTTTTTGTCACCTTTATTATTAGGTGTTAACAATAAATTCACAATTTTTTTTTTTCAACATTAGAAAAGTAATCTAATTTCAATAACTAATTAGTTTTAATTTTCAACTAAGCCAATTGAGACTAATACAACTATAATTACGAAAAAATTTATTCATGAAATGTACTTTTCTTTTCTTTTTTTTGTCGATATATTCTAATACGATGAATGTTAATTCTATTAATGTTGTTGTGCTTCTTGTCGTGTGTTTGTTAAAAGTCTTCAGGTCATGTGCTTTTGCTCGGTTCGAACTAATAGGAACACTACTGTATACTTCAATTTTATTTGAATAAACAAATATATACGATCAGAAGTAAAGAGTTTCAAAAAAATAGACGATCAATTATTCAAGTAATGAGAAATAGAAAATTTCAAAAGGCATCAATTCTACTATTTTTTCTTTCAAAAGACATTTAATAATTTTTTGGATGTCGTATCGACTTATAGATAAGTTAGATATAGAATTATTTCTTCTATATGATCATTAGTTTTCATGATTGATTGCATTAAAAAACATATTCTAAAGAAAACAAGATGGTTCGTCTTGGTTTAAATACTTATCACAAGACAAGGCAAATTTTCAAGTTCGACGATAATGTTATCTGATGCGTAACCCATACAGAATGGGACATTTTTATTCTATTTATTTGAAGAATAAAAGAGCATTCAACAATTCTCTTCTAGACTCATTCAATAGACAATTTTTCGTTCTACCAAACTGTCTAATCTGTTTTTTGTTTTCAAATAAGTTCGACTTGTCTGCACAAAATTGACAAGATGACCACCTAAGCGATCGTCTAACTGCGATTACCTATTTGTAGCAGATATCTATAGATTATAGTGTCCATTGAGAGAGAATTTTGTGCTGTGTCCTTCCTTGGGTTTTTCGAGGTCTCTAGTGTGCTGTTGTTCAGGAAAAAAGGCTCGAAACTAACATTTGAAGATGTTTTTGGATATACTTTGAAAAGTCATGCTTTCTAAAGACAAGCTGGGTCTGTGACAAGTTTATTATTATGTCATTGACTGTAGAATTTAATTCTGAGCAAAGTGGTTTAATTGTTCAACTAAACAACGATACAGTTTAGCGTGCTCTAAAGTAAAAAAGAATAACGACATAGGTCAGTCAAAAAAATCATTTTCGGTGTTTTCACATTTTTCATTTTAACAATTTTTCTTCAAAACATTTCTTTTAAAATTCTGAAATATGCATCAAAAGATTTACAATTTCATGAGGAATTTTGTAGTTTATTTGATATTTCAGCGACACTTTTATTAATAGACTTGTATCATGTTTTTTGTTTTCGACCGTCGCAGTCGGGTGACTGGATAGGCATTCATCTTTTTATTTTTGCATGAACGAGAAAAATTTCTTTGAAAAACAAATTAAACAGTTTTGTAGAGTGGAAAATTCTCTGTCAAATCAGCTTAGAACAGAGGCATTGAATGTATTGCCGTCTTTAGAAGAATAAAATTAAAGTGCGCTGTTCTTTATGAGTCATCTGTTATTTGTTCGATTCATTATGAGTAGAGACTGTCTTCATGAAATTGTATGCTGAGATTGGTTAGATTTGATCAAGTTGAGGCCTTAGCATCTTATGCTAAGCCAATTTCATGCATTTATTCAAGAAGAAAGACAAGGAAATGCAGTTTCAAAAATAGATAAAAAGCAATAGGAAAAGAGTTTCTGTTTGATAAATCGTTCCGAAAAAGTAAGATAATGAAATGTTGAAGAGTTCTTATTTCAGGATGAATATTCAGATGCAACTCATGAATCCATCCATCATATGAATACTAGTTGGTAGGTGCAAATGCATTATGATTCATTCGATAAGAAGTATTGTGACAAAATTCAAAGACAGGAGTAACAGCATGCCCCTTTAAATTAGTAAAGGCTATACCTATTGGAGACATAAAAATAATTGATGAAATTGATATTCACAGCATATGTTTCTTTACCTTTTTTTTATCCCATCAACTACATATTCTAGAGTACCTTGGTTCGAATCTAACAATGCGCCAATACGCGTCCCATCACGAAATATATTATGATACGACAAAGATTTACCATCATGCCTCAATCCAGTAAACTCATAATTGGTTTGTTGATTACAGAGTCTTAAAGTCCAACTGAAAGAATCATCGCCTAAACGTTTATTTGTATCCCATGAAGAAGTAGCAACACCCATTGATGAGTAGCATTCTTAAACATGACTAGTATGCTTATTGTGCTTTGTTCAAAAACAAGAAGAGTAGTACCGGTTCCGTTTTGCATAGTGACTTCCCAGTAATGCTTTCCAGTTTGCCATATAACATTGTTTACTTTTGCATACAAAAACTTGGCACATCCATCACTGTGATTAGCTAAGAGGCCAGCTTCTGAGATAACTACTTGTGGATGATGCAAAGTGGAATCAAATAATAATTTTTCAACTATAATCGTAGTGGTTACTGTTTCATTTTTCAATTGTTTGATCAACGATGTAATCTGATAGTATTCCGCTTCTAACAAAAGTTCAACACGATCTTGAGTCGATTTAGGCTCAATAAACGTATTTGTACGTAAATAATTGAGTAAAATTCTACAAAAAAAAAAGATTTTACGCGATTAGTTTAATATGATTAACGTAAGTGACAACTTGATTCAATTTGTTTACATCGTCACTTATACCTAAAATGTGTTGGATCACGATCAATAAACGTAGCACCCTGATGTTCTCGAAGATCAAATCGTCCACTGAACATCTTTGTGAATAGACATTCTTCTTTGGTTAGAGTTTCAATTGTAGTTGAGAATAGTTGACCACCTACATTAAGCGTTACGATCTGATCATATTTCTTGAGTAATCGAGTCATTTCCTCTTTTTCTTTTTTTAACATCTCAATCTCTTTGTGTAAACTGTTACGTTCATTTAGTAGATTTGTTTGACTATCAGCGATGTGTTTGAACAGTATATCAGCTTCATCTCGTATGGTTTTATTAAAACGATCAAAGAGTGGAATCCATGAATTACTGTTGTCAATTTCATCAGTACGATTTGATGACATGAGCTCTGGATGGAAATGTTTGTCGTTTTTGTGTGAGTATATAATAAAATGAATCGTCACAAATAATTTTATTATGATAAGATAAGAAAATACTCTTGGAAGAGTTTACTCATATTTTTGTTTAGACGTTACTAAGAAACGACCCTCCTTAAAAAAAGCAAATTTCACCTGTATTGTATCGTTTATGGTCTTGCTTCATATACTCAATATGTGGATGTTCATCTTTTTAAGTTTATTAAAAGTATAATGTATGGGATTAATTTTCAAGAAAAAGCACTTTTAATTGTATTATAAACTGGAAAAAAGTTTTAGTTTTAATATTGATAGTGCTTCTTATCAAGCTTCGAAGTGATTATGAATATGTTGATGCAGCAAGTAAGTTATATCTATCAAACTAACATTTCATTCATGTAAAATTGTTTAACAACAATTGATAGTAAAAAATAATACTTTTTTTTATTAATGAGTTTTATTATTTCATTGAATGTGGATGTGAATCTGTCTTCATCCACACTCCCACCTAACACTGTTTGCTCTTATTTTATTCTTTTTTTTACTTAAACTTATTTGATCTGCTATCAATTGTGTAGTATCAGTACAATGTTTATCAAACTTCTCAAACATAAATTCATGTGATAAAGAATTAGTAAGCAGATGGAAAATGATCGTTTTAATCGTATTTAATGTTGCTATCCTTCATACATTGATTAATTACGTTACCTTGGATTAATTTCTTATCTTTCTTTTTAAATAACTAACATCTAAACATTACTTAAATCTATGAATAAATAAAGAGATGTGTAGTTGAAAACGGCATATGAATATTTATATGTGCAAATGTTATTAGATCAGGAGTTGTTAATTTGCTGTGTAATTTACTGGCATATTATTTTCAAGTAAATAACATCATTTTGAGTAATAAAATCAGTTGTATAATTTCACACAACGATGCTATTGTTTTCTAAATTAGTGCAGAATGAAAGTGACAAAAAAGCCCTACAATTATATCAAAGATCAAATTAATCATCGATAACAACAATTTATCGTCTTAGAAGAATAAATATTATTTGACAGAAAGTCTATAAATATGCACCAAAAATATGGAGTGTTCTTAGGGGAATAGATCGTCTATCTTATATCATTAATTCAAAAAACGTCAAAATCTCGAGAAAAACAAATACATTAATCTCGTTTCTTTCACTCTTTGTAGAAGAGCAGGAAATAAAAGAAATGACCTCGTCAATATCCTGTTAGACATTTGTATAGTAGCATTATTTTATCTTAATCTATTACATCTGTTTTTTATTGTTTTTTTTTCGCACAATCGATTTATTATCGAGATTTGCTTGTTGTCTCATACTTATCATCAAATGGGAACAACCATCCTTTAAACGAACTGGTTAGTATTAAAACTCGATGTATATACGAGACATGCCATCTTCTCCGTAAAAAGCTTTGTATACTCATTAACAGAAAATGGAAATTTACCTTGTATTAGAATAGGTCAATAGTTTTCATTATTCAACAATATAATTTCATTCAATGTTCAGAGTATGTAACGTAATTACTTTACTCGAAACAAAAAATCTATTTTCGATAAACAAAAATAAATAGTATATCAAGTTGCATCTTTGAATATCATAAAGGTAGATTAACGCCTTTTGAGAAAAAAGTTGTCGGATTCGTCATGAAATTTTTATACAAAAACAAGTTGGAAAGAATTTTTCATCACCGAAAAAATTATGATTAAGACACGACAGTCATGTCTTCTTACAACATGTTGCATTGTTTCTCATCGAATAATGAATTTTAAGTAAGAGAGTGAAACAGAACACGAATAAAATTGGATCTATGAATTGTATTGATTTCTTACAACGAAGAATGATGCATTCTCCATGAAATAGACAGCTTTCCGTTATTGATAATTTTCACGGACAGTATTTTTGATCTCCTAATGATTTTACATTTGGTACTGATAATTCGAAGTTTGAGAAAATTTTTTTTTACGTTTCTTTGGCATGAATAGAAAGAACTCGTCAATTTATCTATAAAAATCTTATTCTTGACGTATTCAGACGATGGTTTTCTCATGAAAATTAGGAACGTTGGATTTAAAAATTTCCGGAAAGTCTATAAAATTATAAAATTTGAAATAAGCTAAAAAGAATCAAATCTTGATAATCTCTATATTTATCCGAATTGTATTTTGTTTTTACACATCTTATAGTTAGGAAAAAGTTTATGCATGTTTTTTTTTTAAAATTTTGTTGGAAAAATCGATTTTCTCGGTATGATACCAAAACAAGCCTCAACAACGGGTTCCATTCACAGATTTTCACGATCAAAACTTCAATTTCAAAAGAAACGAGTAGCATGTTCAGAACCAGTACAAAAGTCTACATCGAATATTATACTTAATACTCAAAACTAATTTTTTGTCAAATTTCAATCATATGGGAACCATAGATCAGAGTACTCGAAAATAAAAGTTAGAGATATATAGACGAAAATTTGATGAAAATAAGTGTTGAGTATTATGTATTTTATTCCATGCGTATAAATTTGCTGTTTCTGAATATGATATTCATTCTTTTTCTGGAATTGAACTTCTAACCATGAAAATCTCAGAATACATACTCGGATAAATATTGAGCCTGTCAAGGCTTGATGCGTTTTACGTATGCTGATTTTCATAAGGTTTTCTAGAATTTTTAAATCCAGTTATCCGAACGTTCACTACAAAAATATCGTTTGAACATGTCAAAAACAATATTTTTATAGGTAACTCGACGAGTTCTATCTAACAATGACAAAAAGCGTTAGAAGAAGTTTTGTTCTAGTTTCCATTTGATGGCAGTTTACTTTTCATCGCCAAGTGTTTTCAGCATTAGTTTCATATTGTTATTACTCAAAAAAGTGTACAAATTAAACAATAGATGAGTGAATCGTAACTTTTTGATACGATTGAAATTTTAGCTGTCTTTGACTAATAATTTTTTGTTACACAACTACACCATATTTCAGTTGTCTATCTCAGATAGTCACTGAGATATGAAAGACATATTACAAGAAAACGTCATTTTTTGGTGACATATGCAAAGAAAAGATAGTCTTTTGACTACCATAAAAGAAGGCAAAATGATATAAATAGCCTGATAGTATAGCGTTTGATGCTCTGTCATAATATATAATTTACTTGAATTTTCTTCTTTATTCCCTTGTTGTACGTTCCCATAGTTTGACAGATAATTGCTTATTATTATGTAGAGAGGCACAAATTCAATTCTAGCTCTCCTTGTGATAGAGCTAGTAGCATACATAACATATGAGAAGAGAGTGAATTCTTGCACTAACGAACTGGTGAGAAAATATTCTCTCCCATCAGCTTTATTCGAGAGAAAAAATAAAAGGACTTAGTAAAAGTGAGTCATTATACTCGTTTTATGGAGTGGCATTTGGAAAATTCCTTATTCTGTAACTTTTTAATGAGTCGTTCGCTTTGGCTTCGTTTTTTAAAGTAGATATCAAACACAACGTTATACAAGTGATGAAAATTTCAGTCTTTGATCTTTTACCATTCAGAAAAAATTGATATTATTCTCAAAATGTAGAGTGACACTTTTTGGCAGATATTTCCCATTCAAAGCTGAAAATAGTGATTCGAGCCCTTTTCCCTAAGGAAAGTCAATTTCATACTTGCATTAAGCAGAAATTAAACTGTAAAATGTGTACTCCTTTTAATATTCTGATAAGTGTTTGGAAACTTTTGTAGCTGAACACAAGCATAAAGTATAATATAATTTATTACTCATAAACTATTTAAGTCTATTTTCAGTTTTTCGTGTCAATCGTAGCAAAATTTGCAATTCACTTATATATACGCATATATGCATTTGACCATATTAACTTAGGAAACAGTATTTCCAACTGGATAAAGTGTGCGTGTGCTTATTTTTACTCGGATAAACATTAAAAAACTGTTGTTTTTTGTGCAATCCTTATTATAAATCAACTGCATTTGTATTATAAACTTGGTTTTAATTATCAAATCAGAAGAAAGAGAAAATATTGTCATTGGTCTAAAAATGGGTTGTTGCAAAAGTTTTCTATGTATCAACACTTTACATTTGCATCGATCGAATTCAACACGCATTTTCTCATCCTTTACTCAAACTGAAATGGTACAACTTGGAACTCTGTTGTCTAAAATACCTGATCATTATCAAGAAGCAATTATTAATCTACCAGTACGAAAACTATTAAACTTTTATCACTATCATTTGATGGCTTTGTATTATGGTCAACAAAGACAATGGTTATTGGCTGTATTATGCGAACAGCACGTAATAAAAGGCTTACAAGCTTTGATGCCCACCGAAAAAGATCATTATATCTTCTTTAATTTTTATAGCGTATTATCAGCATGTTTGTTAGCACTAGGTGAAATTCAAACAGCGATTGAAGGACTTCATATAACTTTATCTATTCTATTAAAACATACACCGATGGACTATAAAACAATAAGTAATCATTACTATCATCTAGCTAATGTATATAAAATTATACCAAATTGGGAAGCAGCGAGTCAATATATAACAAAAGCAATTGAATTAGCACGACTCAGTAATGATTTAGACCAAGAATATATTCACATTCTTGAAACTAATTTCCAAGTGATACAGTAAGTAGATTGATGAGAGGCATATTCTAGCAAATAATGTGAAAATCTCCAGAGAAAAAGAGAAACAGATTGCATAGCATTCAGGATTATGTACTTGCTCATTATACAAGTCAACGCTTACAACATATATCATGTATAGTAAATATGCTACAACACAAGTTAACCTTCTCGAAAAGAAACATGACATTTTTTGATGCTGAAATTTCGACATTCTTTCTCTTTTGTTTTAGGAAACGATATGCTAATAATATGCTGTGCAATTAAACATTTCCTAAACCAAAAAGCCAAAATTAATCACAATAATCAAGATTTCCACACTCGAAGAATAGCTCCAGTAATTGTGTTTAATGCTAACTATGATACATTTCAGTTTGATTTGGTTGAATTTAAGTCTTTACCTTGAAAACAGACAAAATAACAGATTATTGATAAAATTCGACGAGATCTTTTTAAAATATTTCAAAAAACATATCGCTTTAGATTAGATATGATGGAAATACTTCTGTACTCATCTGATCAAGGTTTATTGAAGTTCAGTTCAATAAATTATAAATAAAAGCAACCCCTTATCAATGACAGTGATTAAAGCAACATTGACAATGGTTATTGAATGATTAAATAAAAAAAATACAACTAATGACAAACTATATGTTATATTGAAACAATTGCCAGTGTCACTCTTTTATATGCATAATAGTCATTTTTATGGAAAAGAGCTTGTTGTATTCCAAGTGACAGAAAAGGATGACTAGTTTGATTAATAAATGATAAATCTATTTTGATTAAATTTCTATATGGTTTTTTAATCATTCCCATTCAGTTAAAAACTAACGTTCTACATTGTTAAATTCTAAATTTTATTAACAAATTTAAAGCAATAAATAATAGAATTGATTCTTCTATTAGTATATTTTCAAATCTATATCGTCACCTCCATCAGTTATCACGAGTAAACTATCTTAGAGTGTTCGCTAAAGAGTCCAAGTGTTTTGAATTTCTTTTAATAAAAGAATAAAAAGACAAATGGATGAAATGGTTATACTTAGCATCAGATCACAAATTTTTTCTTCGTTAACAAAAGTATTCTTACATTCGTATGATGTTGGAAACGAAACCTTAATAGCTCTTGGTATTATTCAGATAGATAATTCATCAAGTTTTATCTACTCTTCGAAGTAATCAAACAACACTAATCAGAAATGTTTAATACATAACTTATCTCTTTTTCCATAGGAAATTGTTTTTTATTGACAGGAAACTTATATATCTTATGCGAAAGTGAGAAAACGTAAGAATTTTATTTTATTTTTTTTGATGAAAAACAGTTTCGTATCAATAGTAATATCAATTGCTATACTAGCAAGTAAATAGACAGAGTTCTATAAAATAGTTATAAAAGTCATGAAGCTTATCATTTACATCCTTGTCTTGTTTTATAAGCACCCCAACAAGCTGCATAAGCCATTTTGTGAGAAATTGTATGTTGTTCCATCGTTCCTATAAATAAATGACTCCATGGTCCTTGTGCGAACACAGCCACATCTTCACCAGCATGTGTTGCTTCTACCATTGGATTAGCTGCTGGCCATTTATATTCGGTTCTATTAAAATCTATCGAATCAAAATATGCCTTATTGCGAGTAGCTGCAAAATTGGGACCGTTGCTATAAGTTATAATATGCACTGGCATTTTATCAACAGTGCTCACATTAGCATTATCTAGCGTACCAAACCCAAAAATGTTTGAGCCACGAGCTGATCCAGCACCAAAAGAAAAAGAATGGGAGTGATCAGCAGTAACAACAAGTAATGTATCATTAAGAACACCTTTTTCTTGTAGTATACGTTTTACTTGGCCAATAGTATTATCAAATTCAACATAATCATCAAGCGCATATCTCGCCTGAGTAAAATGATGACCATGATCAATTCGACTTCCTTCGATGAATAGAAAAAAACCATTTTTATTTTTGCTCTTCAAAAGCAGATGTTCGACAGCAAATGTGGCCATTTCTGACAAGCTTGGCTCTTCTTTCGATTTTTCAATTCGATCGGTTTCAAAATTCATTTGATCATAATGGAAAAGACCAAGGATTGGTTTCGGCGATCCCAACACAGTCTTATGAAGTTCTGTCTTGTTCCAAATATACTTACCTTTCCAAAACTCATCAATCAGTGAAATATTATCTGTACGTGCTCCATATAATGAAGAATTCGCGACATCAGGTTTTTGCGTTGGATAGAAGAATCTTCGACCTCCACCGAAAAGAATGTCGATCGGTGGTGACTGAAGCATGAGCTGATGAGCAATGTCTACACAACCTTGCGCAGCTTGTTTCGCACCAAAATTGATTGAATCATAGCCTTCCCAATTACGTTCAGGGGAATGAGCATAGGCAGAAGCTGGTGAAGCATGAGTGATTCGAGAAGTAACCACAATACCGACAGGATGTCCTAATCATGATAAAGAAAAAGAATTTTTCAAAAATTTTATCCATAGAATTCGTTGATTTCACCATTACAACAACTTTTGGAAACATGATTGTTTAGGCACAAGAAATGACACTAGACTCAAATTTCGAGTTATTTTCATATCTAATCTAACTGTAAGACAAGAAAGGATAACCTAGACTTTCAACATTGAAAAGAAGATGATTGTTCAATTAAACAGCATATAAGTACAAAATAACGAAACTGGATACTCCAAATACAACAGTAATATCAAGATACTCTGGAAATGTATACGTATGATGAATAATCCAAGATGCTAGATATCCAAGACTTTGCTTTTATGATAAAAATGGTATTGCAACATCGCTTTACATGAAAACATAATTTAATCATCGAATAGTGTTTCTAGACTAAAGTTTACTCAGTCAAGCTATTAGTCAATGGGATAATTTTTAATAAGAAAATTCAATTAAAAAAATACATTCCCTACCGAAACTTTATTTCGATTGCAAATGACGATATTTACCGAGTTCTTTTGCCCAATTCAGTATGCTGTCGACGTGAGCTCCGTGTGAACTCAAACAATTTGCTCGTGAAGCTCGTCCATCTAAACCAACTGTACCAAGTGATGTTTTCACTCCACACAATAAAGCAGTTGCTGTCGCAGCTGAATCTGATGTTTGATGATCAGTACAATAACTTAACATTCATCATAAAATAAAAAAAAGAGATTAAATCGATTCAGAACGAAGGCCTACGTTTTAACAAGTCCTAGATGAGAAAATTGTTCCATTTCAGTGATAAAATCTTCACCCAACTGACCAAGTATTTGTCCTTTTCGAATTCGGCCTGCCGTAATCGTTGAAATACCCATGCCATCACCGAGAAAAAAGATAACATTTTTTGCTATTCGTTTGTTTTTTTGCCTTCGAAGATTATATTCAATATCCAACCGAGCTTGTTCGTTCCAAAACGATGGATTCTTTTCTTCCGACCAGTCCGTTCGACCTGTCTCGATATTTATAGGTAAAATACTGATTAGTAAGATGACAAAAAAACGATACACTAGAAACAATAGAAAAAGTTGCATTGACTATTGAAATTTTCTCAAAACAAACAGCGATCAAGTGAATAGAATGGAGATTTCAGACTTCTTGTGCAAACAGATTCAAAATTTCGATAGGAATTTGTGACGCAGAATTTATTAGCCATATTCTATGAGGTTTATAAATTAAATTTAAAGAAACGCAATTACTAATAGAAACCAATTAGTATGATAGTGACCGATTATAAGAGGTTTTGAAAGCTTTTCGATCTTTTTTTTGATGAAAGAATCTTATTGATTACATTGTTTTAAATCACCATTGCACAAATTATTTCAGTTATTTTGTATATTTCTCGTTTCTTAAGATTTTTTGCTAATTAGTGACTGGTAGCATTGGGTATAATTAAATCGTTCCTTTATTTCTATTTGTATCAATTTTTTTCTAAAATTTATTTTGTACGTCTGTTACAGATTAACTAATAAATTTTAGGTGAAAAATGTTTAAAAAATTCAGATCCCACCTTCAGAGAAAATACGAAGTGTAATATCTGAGACAATCACTTTGAACATTTGGAAGAATTTTTCTTCTACCAACAGAAAAGGGGCCTGAACAATATCTTGATCAAGTGAGACATTGTACACGTTCTACAAAAAAATGCCTTATTTTCACAAAATCAATCCCAGATACTTTCATAGAGAACAAAATGCTTCTACTTCAAAGTCGACAATATTGTTCATTCTCACAGAAGAATATTTTCGAAGTCTCTATCAACCAAATAATATAGAAATGTACAATTTTATGTTCCATCAAAATCTGCTTCATTGCGACGATTCATAGTTTTTCGCCTGACACAAAAAAGCCCAAAAATAGATAAGCGATTGTATTTTGCAAAGAGTTTTTTGAATAAAAAAATATTGATTTAAGACTTTGCTAAGAGTCAAAAGGATAGACAAAAGATTTTCTTTTTTTACTTTTTGTCATGTTGGATTGACATACCATGTTATAAACTATTAAAACATGTTATTATTCACTGTCCTAATTGGACCTATGGCTCATAGAGAATTATTTTACAACAGAATCGAATAAAGGAAAACTAATATTTCGAATCTACTACATACACGGCTAGAATGTTAAGTACAATGAAATATTGATTTTAAGAAGAAGAAATTTAGACACCAATTATTTTGACCGGAACTGGAGAAACAAAGTTCAATAATGAATTAAAACGTTGTACATAGATTAGACTCCGTGTTGTAATAAAAAACTATATATTAATCGACAGCAAAAATTGAAGGAATCTTTTCAGATATACTTTATTATTTCGTTCAAAAATTATGATTTCTTTTTCTTTTATTGATACAATCCACTATGATACATAATATTGAAAAATTCATAACTGAGAAGAAAAGCATTCCATGAGTGGCTATCTGACAGCTTTTAACATCTATTCTAAGTACAAAAACTTTTATATATTGTAATCGATTCTGAATAAAATGTGTGTATGATC